TTCAATCAGGCAATGGACTTTCGCTTCAGTTAGTAACGCAGCCGACGCATCAACCTTCCACATGGAAATCAATCGACTATCGGTCAAAGCACATCAACGAAAAACAAATCGGAACTTTAGTAACCTGATCCCCATCGGGCAAAATTTACGCGCACAAATCAAGGTGACGCATACCATAGCTCGCGTTTCGTTATATTGTTGTGCTATAATGCAGAACTACAATATACTCCATCCCTCACACTATCTCACGGAAATCACCTGAGCCTATTCACACGACACAGGTGAAAGTATGAAAAGAATGAGAAAAAGACAGATTCCATTCGAGTTCAGATTCGTTTGTTTCGCGAAAAATGAAAGATTCCTACAATATTTTTTTAAAAGTAATTTGTTACATCGATTGGAATAATCAGCCAACAAAAAATAATTTCATTATCGACGACAACTTATACCTATATATTTTCATGAACAATAAAAATAGTTTCCGTCCATTCATTTCTACAAGCGGCACGGGCGGTCGTCTTCAGGAAAATGATTTTCGGAACCTGGGCTTTTCGCGAAATAGCGTATCTCATACTATACTTTATTGATGATTTGAATTTGCTGGACTTTAGTGGGTGACTCTATGTGGTCATTGAATATTGTGCGGTCCAACGTCTCCACTACCGCAAGCGTCTGTCGTGAGGGGGGGCGACCCGTGCTTTGAGGGGGGGCGTAGATCTGGAGGTGCCTCCACATCGATGTCTGCATTCGCTTCGTTCTCACTTCGTCCAAAAAGGACGTTCGATTCACGCAATTCCCGGGCCCTCACGAAATTTCCTTGACTCGGTACTTCTCATTTACGATTTTATTAATATGGCTCGGGCAATTTCCACGTCATAAATCTCGAAGATCCCTGCGCTCGGTGCGCGTCGCCCCTCTCGGTGCCTCCATAAATCTCGGCAGTCGGTAGCGAACCCCGTTTTCGTGAATCAGAGGTGGAGATTTGTTGAGACGCCGATGGAAGTACCCACCGTGCGGCGTGCGGTGCAGAGTATCCACGTCCTGAATGACAATAACGATCGGACAAAAGACACCGAGGATGATGTAATAGGACTTTGAGAAGATGGTCGCGGCGAGATTCGAACCCTCCATCTCAAGGTGAAGTCGGAAAAAAAAAATTATATATAACCGAGGTATATTCGCTTCGACTCGCCTCTCACCACCCGGCAATTTAATTAAATCGATTTTGTGCTTTTACCCTGTATGCGAACTATTAAATCAGGCGGGGCGTCAAATTGCAAAAGTGCTATATGCATATTAACAGTTCCACATTTATACATATGAGATAAATTTAAATGTCTCGTATCAAATAAAAGTCGATGTGCCCAAATCGCAAGATTTAAAGATAATAAACAAGAGAAACTACAAGAGTAACTCTAAACAGAGAATGCCACACTCTCCTTCTGTGAAGACCTAACCAAGATTAATCTAAGGATTAGATTAGATTAGATTAGATTAGATTTGCAGCATTTAATTCGCTCTTGCATAGGAAAATTTATTTAAAGGCGATCTACATGCGGCGAATCTAATCTGAAAAATGGACATTATTTTATAATGAGCATCGAGCAGCGCAGCACCAAGCCAAATTCTTTTGCTTTTAAAATGGGAAACACTTTAAGGTTCTTCACGAGCCTTTGGTTGGAAGCAAGAGAGGGAGCGACCACGACAAATTCATGGGAGAAGAGCGTAGGAAGTTTCGGCTCCAACTTTATTAAAGATTGAGGATGTCATGTCCAAAGATCTCGATCGCCCAAGTTCCTTTCTCCCTTGGGACCAAAGGTTTTACGTTGCTTCTGCTATCTCTCGTTTCGTTATCGAGACGACTTCCGTGCGACGTACGGGTCAATTAAGTTGGGATTGCGTCGTTGGGGTTGGATGGTTCGACGTAGTCGTCCAGTAAGAGAAGGACGGAGCCTCAGCGTAAACGTGCATAAGGTGTTGGGCTAGGTCTGCCTCTTATGAGGCCCAACTCATCATCTTAAGGAAAAAAAAAGAGAGAGAAAAAAGAAAATGTGTTGAACGTTCTTGAGAGAGAGAGAGAGAGAGAGAGAGAGAGAGAGAAGAGGTTCGCTGAAGCAGAGTAAAGAGGCAGGGAGCAAGCTTCGAAGAGGAGAAGAGACAGTCCAGATTCGATGGTAAAATTTTGTCGGAATAGACTAAATTTTTAGTGTGTTGTTCGTGAGATCAAAACCTATAGATTAATTAGTTTTGTTCGTTAAAATCCTTCTCCAAATTGTCTTTGAATTTCTCTAGCAATGGTTAATAATTTTTTCCTTCTTTGTGTTAATCTGTCTTTGTAGTGATGATATATTGATGTTTTGCCGATGTAAAGAGCTTCTAGCTATATAACTAGAGATGAATTATTGTGTATTATGCTATTCTTAGTGATTAGTGGAAGTTTTTTGAGCGGCCTATGGTTTTTCTCATGTTGGATTTTTCATGTAAAATTTGTGGGTGTTGGTTTTGTATTTCATCTTTTTTTTTAGCACTAAACTTACTGATTGGGGGTTGATATTGCTGAAATATTGTAACCGCTTCTGCTGGGGTTAATTTGATATTAGTTGGTTGAGTTTTGGGGAAGATATTGATCCTAATCAGGTTTGAGTAGTAAATTGTTATCTTTTCTCTCCAATACAGTGGTATCAAAGCTAGCATGATGGATGAAACCATATAGCTGTACCATGTTTAAGTTAAAGGCCTCGAATTACTCTTTTGGAAAACTCGGATGGAATATATATTATACAGTAAGGATTTGCATGATCCAATCGATAGTGATGCGTCTAAAAAAGACAAAGAAGATAAAGAATGGGAGTGAATGAATAAAAAAACGGTTGGATTTATTTGACATATTCAGGTGCATTGGAGCATGTATTACATTGAAATAGCATTGACATTTAAGACTCGTGATATCAAAAACTTCCCAACTTCCGACAGATTTTAAGGCTCGTTTTATATCTAGTACCTTTTCCTAGAGAGAGGAGTGTTCGCTGAAGTAGAGAAAAGAGGCAGAAGCGTAGCTTCGAAGAGGAGAAAAGGCAGTCTAGATTTGATGGCGAAACTTTATCGGAATTGACTGAAATTTTAGTACGTTGTTTGTGAGATCAAAATCTACAAGTTGATCGTTTTTGTTTGTTGAAATGCTTATCCCAATTGTCTCCCAATTTTTCTGGCGGCAGTTAGATATTTATTGCTTCTTTGTATGAATCCACTTTTGTGGCGATGATATATTGATGTGTTACTAATGTGAAGAGCCTTTGGCCATGTCATTAGAGATTAATTATTGTATATCTTGCTATTCTTGGTGATTAGTGTAAGTTTTTTGAGTAGCCTCATGATTTTCCTGCATTGGGTTTTCCACATAAAATTTGTGGGTGCTGTTGTTCGGCTTTGCCTTTTTCTTCTAGCACTATATTTGCTGGTTTGAGGTTGATATTGCTAGAATATTATGACTAGTTATTGTTGGGGCTAATTTGAGATTAGTTGGTTGAGTTTTGAAAAGATATTGATCCTTAACAAGTTAAAACATCTAATTGTTGTCCGTTCTCCCCAACATAAAGAAAGGCCAACAAAAGCTGGTTACAAACAACAAAACCTTCACATCGAAACACTCCCGGTAAGCGTCACGGGGTATGAAACTTGATACGTTGAAGGAAAGGAGTGAGCAAACCAAAAACTTTGCGAGTGATACTTATTTCGCCACGAGACTGACCACTAACTATGCACATTTTATAAACATTGCTCATTCTAAGAACATTAACAAACCCTATAAAACCATAATAAACAAAAATCTGGGAAAATTGTCCAAAAAGTACTAAACTTATTATACGGCGGCCAATTCAGTTCTAAACATTTTAATTTCGTCAATTCAGTCCTAAACCTTTTGACAACTTGCCCGCCCTCACTGTGGCCGTCCCACAAAAACCCTAAACCCAAAACCCCACCGAAAAGATCCTCTCTGGAGCTCTCTCAGCAACCATGGCATTTGGCCGTGGTTGGTCTTATTTTCCTGGGTTTTCTCGTTCGAAATCAATCCTGCTGTTTATTGAGTTATAATGTTTTATCTCTAATTTGTGGTTGGGCCGGCTGTGTTTTGCCGGTTTGGGTGGTGCTTGGAGATCGGGTTTTGTACCAAAACCTTGGGCTTGTCGTGGCTTTCCAAGCGTTCTGTTTAATCTCGGCTGCACTAGTGTTGTGCTTGCTTTTGGCTTTCCAGTTAGAAGGTTTCAGTAAATTCATTGTTTTAGGATAAAAGTATTGGAATTATCTATACTTCAAAATGGGGATAATTGTCAAAAAAGTCACAGACCTATTGTACGGAGGTCAATTCAATCTTAAACATTTCAATTGTGTCAATTTAGTCCTCAACCTTTTTACGATTTGTCAATTTAGTCCTTAAACCTATTATTGAATATTTGGACGAACGGATTATATTGGCAAATCTTCAAAAGGTTTAGGACTAAATTGGCAAATCTTCAAAAAGTTTATGACTAAATTGGCACAATTGAAATGTTTGGGATGGAATTCACCGCCGTGTAATAGATTTACGACTTTTTTTGACGATTTTCCCCTTAAAAATGTGAGAGAATAAAATCATGAATTTACGCATACGTCGGTGGACACGATTTTTGTAAAAGGTCTATATTATAAGCAAGTGGGGACACTTGGAGAAGAAAAGACGGATTGAGATCCCTTAAAAGTGGGAGGCTCTCTTTACATTATCGGAGAGTACTAATCGAAGTTCAATGAAATGGATGTAAGCAAAGAAACAACTGAGATAAAAAATTTCAGAATTGTAGATGGACTGTGAAAGTGGAAAGACAGTGTAAAATACCAGAGAAATGAATGAAAATTATGTAAAATTAAAGATTACAAAGTTGCCAAAGGACACTCCTTTCACATTTGCGAAGGGCATTATAGAAATATGAAAAGTGAAGAAAGACCAAAGACTTTGTAAAAGCGGCTTTTTATTGTATAGAAACCGAAAACAATATCAAAATTAACTTCAGAATCCAAGCCAAGTGTGTGCCAATAAGATGCAATCGATTGATCAACAGCACACCGTGCGCAACATAAGCACGACCAAATGTAAAGGCAAAGTAGAGAACAATCTCTTGTTCTCAATATGCCAATCTCAATCTTGCAGTTAATTGTGCTTTGCACCTAGTTCACTTGATCTCCTTCAACAGCAGCTCCTGTTTTTTCCGCAGTATTATAATCTTTAGCGACAGGCTCGGCAGCAGAGGAAACGGGATCAATCACCATGGACCGGTCGTTCTGAGTGGTTAGGTCGGTCGTCGCTTTATTGTTCGTAACCAGAGGCATGCCATCCGAGGCCCCCGCTTTCGTCTCTGATTCGTCAGGGTCGTCCATCTTGTACTTGTACCAATAGGCAGCGATCAGGTATACTCCGAAGTTGAGCGTGCTCAGGATGGCCAAGAACCAGTAGAACAGATTGACTTTATTCTTGTTGATGTCCTGCCCATGTAGCCATCCTTGCTTGCTGGGACTGATCTTCTCGGTGACCGAATTGATGATGTTCACAAAGATGGTGCTCAAGAAGTAGCCGAAGGACAGTGAGAGCCAAGTGAACGACGTTGAGAGTGACCTCATCCCGACCGGCGCCTCTCTGTAGAAGAATTCCATCAGCCCAATGAGTGTGAACATGTCAGCGATCCCGAAGATGCCATACTGCAGAGAGAGCCAGAAGAGGCTGATGTGGTGGGAAGGGTTCTTGTTGGCCTCGTCTCGTCGCTTGACCTCAACGATCCCAGCGACAGCCATGGAGATCACCGACAGGACGAGGCCGACCCCAACACGCTGGAGCTGCGTGATGCCCGACGGGTGGCCTGTGAGCTTGCGGGCGAAGGGGACGAATACGAACTCGTAGATTGGGATGAGGATAGACATGAAGAGGAGGGGGATGACTGGGATGGACGGCGTCGGGACCTTGAGGGACCCGAGGTGCGGATCCATGAGCAGGCCCTGTTGGACCGAGAAGGTCTGGAGTTGGGCCATGCATGTGTTCATGATGATGGTGCTGGCCAAGATGGGAAGCATCCTGGTCAGGACTTTGACCTCTTCAACTTGGGTCACTGTGCACACTTTCCATGGCTCAGGCATTGATTCTTTTGGTAGGATTGCTGCTTTGTCCAGGAGCCTGCTCCCAAACATAGGATCAATCAGTCATGTGCATTAAAAACTATGGATCGACATTCCGAGCCTTTGGCTCGATAATAATTTATAAAGTGATGAGGCAAACACTAAAAGGGCGTTCGAATAAATCTAACATTCGTCAATCAATGTTGTATTAACACGTTTACCTGAATTGGTCAGTGTGAGCGATTTTGGCCACGGCTAAGACACTGCTCTCCTTGTCACTGATCTCATACAAGTCAGCTGAATTCTCCGGTAGGGGCAACTTCCTGTTCTTGATGGCCAGAAGCACAACCTGTCCGATTTTGACAGCAACAAACTTACATACTGAATTCCGTCCCATAATCTGCCTTTCCATAGGACTAGATATACAGAGATTGATTTACAAGAACGACGCGACAAAATTTATTGTAGGCTTGAATTCGACCTATTTGGATATCTATCTATGACAAACATTTAGCTGGACCAAGCAGAAGTGTCCCACTGGATCTCGCTCGATCTGACGGTGTCCAAAGTGGCAGATGCACCTAGTTTTTTCCTCATGTGATTAGAGACCTTATCGCGGTTTGCTACATCGTAAAAACCCATGTTATATACTAACCTTTCGTATTCCAAAAATGTTGCACATGCACCCGGTTCCGGTAACTTTAAATCATCAGATCAAATCCCATGTGGATCTCAACAGATAGGTTGATCAGTCGAGATTAATGGGTGCACATGCATCCCGTTCGTGCCAAAATTTCTCCCCTAGCACCAATCTTTCACTTCGTAAAGATTTCTTGAATTCAAAGAAGGAACCCAATAACTTTACCTGCCAAATTCGGAGGAGTGGGCTATCTCCGGGTCGCTGCAGGCGATAAAACGGCTTTCCCATAGCCAAAACGACAAAGCCAACAAAGCTAGCGATTGTCGCAATAAAGAAACCCCAGTGCCAACCTTTGTTCATGCTGACCCACACAATGGCCGTGACCCCAATGGTGGCACCGGCCGTAATACTGAGGATGAGATAGTTGAAGAAGGTGGCGAGAGCACTGGCCCCAGTCGGGTCCCTGTGGTCGAATTGGTCTGCCCCGAGGGCGGGGAACGCGCCACGGACGCCACCATAGCCGAGGGCCAAGAGGCAGAGGGTGGCATAGAAGTAAGTGGCTGTCCCCCCGTGGATGCAGCTTGATTTCCCACATGAGTCTGGGTGCAAATGCTTGGAGCGGGCCTCAATGGTTAACATTGCCAAACCCTGCATGCAATTTAGCGCAAATCACAAGGCATTAAGCTAGACTAAATCATAAATCAAAGTCAATCCTAGAGTTATAGCTGAAATCAAAAGTCACGGCCATCCCAAATGAAGAATATAAGTATATACCAAAACTTCGAGGCTTCCAAAAATAAGACAGGTCGAGAATCTGCTCAAGTAGGTATCGGAGATGAAGCCACCAACAATCGTGAGCAAGAAGGTTGAACCCAAGAAGTTGGTCAGAGTGTTAGAAGCGGTCGCCGGATAAAAGTGCATCACCAGGTAGAAGTATAGCACCAAGGTCACCAGGTTCGCGATGAACCCCATGTTGTCAAGCCCCGCCTGCACTGTCGAGTGAAAAAAAAGAACGTGACCATGTCAAGTCCAGTACACGATGACGACTCACAACGATGAAAAACTGAAGATGTTTACTGCATCTGCTGATATCGACATAAAAAGATGGTTGATACTTGGCTGCACTTGTATCAATAACATAGCAGGTCTAATAAAATCTCAGATTTTTTACTAGGGATATTATGAACGGAGTTAAATGCACCGATTGTAATTACCGAAAATGAATCCGGACGCTCGGAATCCTCCTTTTCCTTTCTTCCATGAGCCTGGAGAGTCGTAGCTCGTCTTGGTTATAGCTTTCCCCTCCTCCTGCATGCAGGCATTGAAAGATCATCATACAAGATCGAGCGAGCAAGAGAGAGAGAGAGAGAGAGAGGGTTGACAGGAGAAGTGTAGCTAACCATGGTGGAGACTTCAGGGCTTTGAAGCTTAGCTAGGGAGAGAAAGCTTGAGAGAGAGGGGTGATGCCATTAGCAAGTTGGTGGGCAAAGAACATATAGTGGATCAAAGGCTTAGTATATAACGTTAACGCTTTAAATTGATCGCCAATCTGTCCTCATTTTTGTTCTCTCTCTCTCTCTCTCTCTCTCTCTCTCTCTCTCTCTCTCTCTCTCTCTAACTTGTATATGTCAAAAGACCCTTTTTCCCCCTCAGTTAATTTCATTGGACCATTGGTCGTGTGAGATTGGGGAGTCCATCATATGTATACAATATAGTCGACAAGATTGTGACAATTTTATTGAATGGAATGACTTAGATTTGGCCGGCGGGCGATGGATTAAGAATTTTGATGGCCGTATGCATGCATGCTTATTAGCTGCCACAGATATGCTTCGCATGCTAATTGATGAAGATAGTTTCATGAAATACAAAAGGTCTCCTCAAATTGAGTGAGGGTCGGATTCCTTAGCTTTCTAAATGGCGCGATCCAGTTAATATGTGGTAATTCACATTCGAAAAGCAAAAGATTTCCAGATTGATTAATTTTGAATGATTGAAATGATTCGATAAAATAGGCTATCATTTAGATATCGAGAAGAAAAATAATTATAGAGTAATTTATGTAACACTAAATCTTCATTCGCGTGGTTCATTCACTGTTGCACTGGTCATAAGTTTCTTATGGAAATGATATAAAATGACTAAAATAGAAACCCTAGCTCACACCTCATCATTTGTATCTCCTCGAAACAAAGCGATGGGACGAAACAGTTCATAGGTCCCATCAGCATATCGCCAAGGAATAATACAGCTTTGATCCAGCCTGATGCTATTGTGATTCTCGAACTCGACAAGAAATTGGATAGCCATAACTTAGCAGTGGATCTTTGGATCTTTTCTCATTGTTCTCTCCACTAATTACATGTCACTTATTGCCAATGAGCTATAATTTATCATCCATGTATGGTTATATATATATATGAGAGAGAGAGAGAGAGAGCAGCCTAGGACAAATGGCTTTGAAACAATCGATGGAGGTTATGAGTCCACTCAATGATTTGCCATTTATCAAGTGTATTTTAAGATCAACAGATGATGTTGAGTAATCGTCTTGTTTCATGATCACATGTATGATGCAAAAAAACGTGAAATTACACTGGTTTGGACTGAATGATAGCCTGCGAGCTTGTACCTGAGTGATCTTATCAAATTCTCTCCCTGTTGGGATATAAAAGTCGTGGATTTGCAGCTTGTAGAGGGGCTTGAAGGGGGGCCATGGAGATAAGAAAGTGTTAGGTTCTGTAGTTTTAATGTCGGAGAAATGTTACATGCATGTGCAACATGCATCTATGTTCTATATAGGACCTAATTGCTAGAAACCTCCACGCTTGGCCTCTTTGGTAAAGTATAGAGTTTGCAAAGATACGTAATAGTTGTGCAAACCTAGCTCCAATACATGCCAGAATGGAGCGGCCAATAACCTGTTTTGAATTTCGAGCTGCTTGGTTTCCAAGAAGTCGGTTGCAGTAACATTTAACCCCATGCATGAAAAGAAGTCGGGAGATTATTGGACCTTGTGTCCCATCCATTAGAAATTAAATTTTAAGGGGGTATGGGTCGAGATCTTTCTCATTCGACATGGATCAGGACGTACTAAAAGAGATACTCGCGCAATACCTGCTAAACTTATAAAGGACTATGATCACTCGGCTTTAGGGTTTGATTAGTTAAGCTAGTGAGATAAAAATTTAAAAGTTTGTGCTTAAGAAATGCGAGATCTCAAGTTCTGATTCAATCTGTAGTGAATTCTTCGAGTTAGGTCGAGAGGAAGTAATTTTGGATGGTCTGCCTACTTCGATCGGGGAAACAGACCCATTCTGACGTTGAAAGTATTGTAAAACGCTCTTGAGAAGTTCAATGGAACGATTGTCATCGTTGTCAACTTTATTAGGCCTAAAACAACCTTTCATTTTTCCTTATAGAGAAAGATGATTAGGAGATCGTGTCAATCTCCATATCCAAGGGAAGCATATCAAACTCATGAGCCCCATGGCTCTCAGCTTTGAAAGGGATGGGCCTGGGTATCTTTCGATCTCAACTATTTTAGTCACATCATAGTAAATGAAGAATTGAAATGTACATGGCGTCTTTAACTTCATGCTACGAGGAGATAGCTTCTAGATTTCAATAGCTTATTAGAGCGATCCTTGCTTGAAAAGAAAGTGAATGCATGCTATGGATATGGATATAAAGAGTAGTGACTTACCGATTGATTCGAAGTGATGCGACAAATTCTTATTAGACGCTAACTACGTTTCGAAAACACTCGGGAGAGGACAATGTAGAGAAGATGCCCATTACTTTAAAATCTTTCAGTCATTTTCCACCCAAATTTTCATTCCCCTCGTTCTTCCCAATGTCCCAAATAGAGTTAGCGTTTCTTGCATCTCATTTCTCAAGCAATTATCCAAGTCGATATTTCGGGATATTCTTGTACCCTTTTTACTCAAAGAAAGTACGATTTGTTCCAACTTCTGTATCTAATTGAATTTAGGCTCTTGAAATTACGACACCTTATTTGACACAACAGATCAGGAGTTGCGATGCACTTTTAGATAATGTGTTTGATCTCAAAGGACGAAATTGATTTAACTGAAATTTTTTTTGAGAAACTTTCCTTTTGGTCTTCTTTTTCCTACTTGGATTTGGCTGGATAGAAATGAAATTTGTTGGCAACTGTTATCTTTATTCTATGGTGCATCCCTACTTCATGTTCTTTGCCTTGACCCATCATTTTTCAATTAAATCCAATAAGGTTGGGACCTTCCCACGCATGGTAACATGCATGGAACCCCACCTTCCATTCCTTTTATCAACTTTTAGCTTTACTTTGTGGGTCAATCCCCCCCGCTCCCCCAACCTTTTTGTCCTCCAAAGAAGAATGCTCTATAACTTTTGTCAAACCCTAAAGAGAATCGCTTTAGGGTCGGGATTGAGTTCCCCCCATTCCTCGCTTTTTCCACGTGCGCAATCGCTTTGTTCGTCGAAGAGTTTCGTTCTTTGTTCCAACAAAAGAATAATAAGAGGCAACGACTTGGAACAGTGCCTTTTCGTATGTTAGCATGAAAGTTTCACACCCTTATACGGTATTCCATTTGAATCATGACTACAACTTAAATGAAGTCTCTCGATCCTTGGGGAAAATTATCCAAAAAGTCATAAACCCGTTGCATTTTTGTCAATTTAATCCTAAACCTTTTAATTTTGCTAATTAAATCTTAAATATTTTTACGTTTTGTCAATTGAGTCTATCCGGTCAATTTTACCCAAAAATCGCTGACGTGGACAATGGCATCTTACGTGGCACAGCTAGTACAGACATGGACAATTTTAATATATTTTGAATCTTTTTATTATGTTTCTTCTTTTCTTTTCTTTTTGCTTTTTCTTTCTTTTAATTATTTTACATCGCACGGCCGGCTGCGAGTGAGGGCTTTGCAGCCCTTGCCAGATCTAGGTGAGGGCTGGTACCCTCGCCTGCAACCGGCGAGGGTTGTTCAACGACCCTTGCTAGACTTGATAAAAAAAAGAAAAAGAAAGAAGAAAAGAAAATAATGAAAAATTATAAAAATATTATAAAAAATTGTCCAAGTTAGCGCATGTTCTACGTGATAGTACTGGTATCCACATCAGCAATTTACGGTTAAAATTGGCCAAATGAACTCAATTGCCAAAATGTAAAAAAGTTTAGAATTCAATTAATAAAATCGAAAGGTTTGAGACTGAATTGGCAAAAGTGCAATAGGTTTAAGATTTTTTGGACAATTTTTCCTTCTTGTATGTTAACACGAGAGTTTCACACCATTGTAGGGTATTTACTTTGAATCATGACTACTACTTAAATGAAGTCATTCAATCCTAGAGAGGTCTCTAGAGTCGAGACTTTGGGAGGAGCGAGTCGGTCATAGCAGCTCTAATGACATTCCGGCGTGAAGAGCACTCCCGTGACTTCGCAAATAAATAGGTAGTGCCTTCACGATTAGGCTACTATGCTATGAATTCGAATTGTTTTTAGGTACACTTTGCATGGTTTAAACGCACCACGACTTTTGAACAAGCATAGTTAACAATCCGACTCTACGCTTCGTAAAATTACATGGTCATGAACCAAAAGGAAGTTTCTTGACTTTACTAGTTGCATCAACACAATCAAAATTTAAACTCGATTTTCGCAGAAGTTGGAGAGAAATGCAACGTGTACTAAGATTTTACCAAGAGCTTTTCCATTCTATTTTTCTTTGTGTATTGAGTTGTACAATAAAGCATTCTAACTCTTCATTAAGTGAAGTCCTCTATCCCTCCTTTGCTATCCTTCTTCCTAAAAGTCCTTCCCACTTCATCAACCAACAGTGTCAAACCCAAGCGCTCTCTATTAAATCAAAATTCTAGATGGAAAGCTCTCCTTTATCATTAGGAGATTTTGACGAGGCCATGGTATGTACGCCAATGCACGGAACATACACGACATAAGGAAATTTTGACGAGGCACGTACACGACATAAGGAAATTTTGACGAGGCCAAGGAAAAGAGAGTGTGGCCCAACTACGTAGTGGGGCCGGCTAAAATGGGAGAATTTTAAGGTGAGTTAAGAGCCCCAATTTGAAAGAAATTCACAAAATTATCTCTAATTTCTAAATTTAGAAGAATGCAGACAGACAATTCCTAAACAAAATTATCTCTAATTTCTACATATAGAAGAACGCAGTGAAGAATGAAAATGCAACATTGATGTTATTATTTAGGGCTCTAACTCATTGAATATCGACGAGTTTCACTCTAATTTTCTTATGAGATGAATAAGAAGCCTTTGAAGGATAACTTTAGGTGTCAACTAAAGAGAGAGAAATGCACATGGCCATTGCCCCACATGAGCTTCGGGTGGCTGTGGTCGATGATGGTGAGGCACGTTTCGAGGGAGGCGAGAGAGAATAGGGAAAAATATCAAAAAAGTCCTTAACATATTGTATTGGTACCAATTTAGTCCTAA